CAGAAACCATCATCCACCATCTTCAGGATATCAATCACCAATTCATCAGGAAACCAGCTAATACTTTGTTGGAAATTTGGTTGAACCGGACTAACCAAGTCAAACCGGTTTTAGGTTGGACCGATCAACCGGTTTGGGACTAGACCGAACAAACCGATATTCTAATTCCATAAAGGGACATATCCCTTTGGCCTAGTGATGGTTGCATTATTTTATGGATAAGGATGACCTTATGGATAGAGACAACCTTTCATGTGGATAAAGGCAACCTTTCGTATGGATAGAGACAACCTTTCATATGGATAAAGGCAAACTTTCATGAAACAATGCATGGATTCGGCCCCTATAAATATGTGTGAGGTGGATGATGCCACACACCATCAAACATATTCTTCTACTTTCTTCCAAAAATTTCTAAGTATGTTTTAGTGTTCTTGAGCCTAGAACCTAAAGTGGTGATAGTTTTATCCTCAGGAGAAATTTCCTTTAACCCAAGGCTTTGTAGAGGGTGGAAATATTCTTTTCGGAAAGTGAACGTTGTTCACGACTCTATCACAATCCTGGTCACGCGGTCTCGGGCTATCGTACGTGTACCCTCGTTCATAAATGTCCCAAGAATCGAAAATAATATTTTCCGGTACAATGGCTCGAACCGCTCTTTACAAGAAACAGGTTCCGGTCTATGGAATTGTGAGAATGTTCGATGATGAGTTTTCGTCGATGGCAGTAGAAGATGGGTTTTCTTCGTACTAGTCTCATGGTTTATTCCATATCCGGAAGGTAACTTGGAAGAGGGATGATTCAAAGATGAGGAAGAAGGAGAATGATTCGTAAAATGGAGAAATAATGAAAATTTCCTTTGGGTAGGTCACATACTCAATGGTTAATTTGCCTAATTCTCTATTCGTCGTTTATGAAGTGCTAGACAAATATGCATTTGTCTAGTGGTTTGATGGTGTGGTTTTGTCTAATTGGTTTATGTTAAACCAAGGAGACAAAATGTATACACAATTTATGATGATTCTAGTAATGGAGTCATCGTATATTTGTATGTATATGACATGCTTATCTTACGAACCAATAAAAGATAAGTGAACTTTGATAAAACGTTGTTATTTAAATTCTCCATGTAGGACATGGGGGGAGGTAAATGTGATTCTGTCTATTGAATTAATCAAGCGGTTCGAGAGAAAAAAAATTCCTTCTCTTAATTTTCTGCATGAGAAGGTACTTACATAAATTTCATAGTAGGAATTGTAGTGAGTTAAAGACCCCAATGGATCCAAGTATGGAACTTATGGTTAATGCTAGAAATCCGTTTTACAACTAGAGTATTCCATGTCAAATTGGGGGCTCGATGTATGCATGACTTACATGATGTTAGATATCGCATATGCGATAGAACAATTAAGTCGGTACATGATGAATCCTAGTTCTCGTCATGTGAAATGAAATGAGTCGTGTACTAGGATATGTCAAAGGCACACTGTATTGAGTTATCTTGGCTTTCCATCCATTTTGGAAAGATTTGTTGATGTTAGTTGGATTTCTCATGTTAAAGGTTATACTTCAACATTGAGATGAGTCCTCTTGCTTGGGAGAGGTGCCATATTTTGGACCTCTAGAAAGCAAACTTGCATCACTAAATTTCACTATAGAATCAAAGTTTGTGTGGTCTTGGTTTCTCTTAGAGAAGAGACATAATTGTTGAGAGGTTTGGTTTATGACATATATTTATGGCCTAAACCAATCTCACCTATTACTATCTTTTGTGATAGTAATGCTAATTTGGCTAAGGCATATAGTCAAGTGAAAATGACAAGTACGGTCATGTGGGAGTCAAGTGTATATTATCTTCGAATATTCATATGAGTCAATGGGTTCAATCGTTATCGACACCCTTTGTATTTGAATATTTGTCAAGTGTAATATACTAAGGTGAAAATTCAATCGTCACGAAATTTTCATTTATGCTTAAGTTTTGTTGGAAGAATGTTGTGATTTTAGTGAATTCTATGAATACACTAAAATGGGGAAGGAATGTTGGAAATTTGGTTGAACCGGACTAACCAAGTCAAACCGGTTTTAGGTTGGACCGACCAACTGGTTTGGGATTAGACCGAATAAACCGATATTCTAATTCCATGAAGGGACACATCCTTTTGGCCTAGTGGTGGTTACATTATTTTATGGATAAGGATGACCTTATGGATAGAGACAACCTTTCATGGGGATAAAGGCAACCTTTCGTATGGATAGAGACAACCTTTCATATGGATAAAGGCAACCTTTCATGAAACAGTGCATGGATTCGGCCCTTATAAATATGTGTGGGGTGGATGATGCCACACACCATCAAACATATTCTTCTACTTTCTTCCAAAAATTTCTAAGTATGCTTTAGTGTTCTTGAGCCTAGAACCTAAAGTGGTGATAATTTTATCCTCGGGAGAAATTTCCTGTAACCCAAGACTTTGTAGAGGGTGGAAATATTCTTTTCGGAAAGTGAACGTTGTTCACGATTCTGTTACAATCCTGGTCACCCGGTCTCGGGCTATCGAACATGTACCCTCGTTCCTAATAGTCCCAACAATCTCGGGAGAAATTTCCTGTAAACCAAGGCTTTGTAGAGGGTGGAAATATTCTTTTCGGAAAGTGAACGTTGTTCACGACTCTATCACAATCCTGATCACCCGGTCTCAGGCTATCGTACGTGTACTCTCGTTCCTAATAGTTCCAACATACTTCTCCTACTACTCCCCCTCCTCTTCTCCCTACAACCACAACCTCTTGTTCGTTGGTATATTGATCATCGCCATTATATTGTTTTTCTCTTCTTCCTCACTTGTTTTCACTTCACCCTCCTTTTTCCGATCCTTCTGATTCAACTGCTAATTAATTTACTCGTGCTACCTCCCATCGGCCATCGCAATATGTTGTTATATTGGGGTTTTTTTTCCTTCTATAATTTTGTGCCTAATGCATGGCTCCATAACGTACGTACGCAGGAACCCATCTTTGATAAACAAGTTTTTCTTACTCTTACTAACTGAAGTGCAACACGGCTAGGAAGTAGAAAGGGATCATGGATTAAAATATAAGGGAGCGAGGAAGGCGGAAAAGTTGGGTTGTAGGGGCTTAGGATAGGGTGAGTAACCCTTTGTTACTCACCCGTGAGTAACCACATAGGGACCGTCGATCTTGGCGGGACGGATCTTGTGGCTGTGATTGATGCGGGGTTTTTTGTCCACGGTCAGGGGCATTTTTGTCCGACATTTTATTTTTGAATTAAATGACTTTCCCTCTTTGTCCGTTGCAAATCTTTCTGTGCGCGAGTTGGATTCGGATTTTGGAGAGAGAAACTACGAGCAGGGGGAGCAGCAGCTGAGAAATAAGGACGGCGATTCTCCATTGTTGATCGACGGCGATAGAAACTGCGAGCAGCAGCTTTGAATCGAGCTTTCTGATTCTCCATAATTGATCGACGTGTGCGCGAGTTGGATTCGGTTTTTGTAGAGAGAAATTGCGAGCAGCGGCTGCGAAACAGGGGACGGCGAATCTTTTCTGATTCTCCATAATTGATCGACGACGAGGTTAGATATTAGTTTTTTTGATTCTTTCTGTTTAGCTAATCGAGTTTTCTGTTGATCTCTGGTTTCGTTGGAGGTTTTTGATTGCTGCTAGTCGAGCTTGTTTATGTTTAGCTAATCGAGCTTGTTCATGTGTTATGTTCTTTGTGTTTTGGTGTTTTGGCAGTATTCTGGTGAGATGAGTAACGTAAATTGTGGCGATGTTGTTCCAATTGATAGATCTGGTTCTTCAACCAGCGTTGTAGGATCTGGTTCTTCATCTAGTGCTGTTGGAACTGCTTCTTCATCTATTGATCTTGGATTTGATCATTCAGCTAACTCTGGTGAATCAGGAGGTAAGATATGCAAATTTGTTTGTTTATTGAAGTTTGTATAGTGTCGTAATTTGATTTTACTATGCCTTATCATGTGGTAATTGATTTTATAGTACATTACCATGTGGTAAAATGTGGTAATTAGGAAGTTAAATGTGATGTTTCTGTGTGATAATTGATTTTACCATGCCATACCATATGGTATAGTGTGGTAATTTGATTTTACCATGCCTTATCATGTGGTAATTGATTTTACAGTAGATTACCATGTGGTAAAATGTGGTAATTAGGAAGTTAAACTTGAGGATTCTGTGTGATAGTTGATTTTACCATGCCATACCATATGGTATAGTGTGGTAATTTGATTTTACCATGCCTTATCATGTGGTAATTGATTTTACAGTAGATTACCATGTGGTAAAATGTGGTAATTAGGAAGTTAAACTTGAGGATTCTGTGTGATAGTTGATTTTACCATGCCATATCATATGGTATAGTGTGGTAATTTGATTTTACCATGCCATACCATGTTGTATAGTGTGGTAGTTTGATTTTACCATGCCATACCATATGGTATAGGGTGGTAATTTGATTTTACCATGCCTTATCATGTGGTAATTGATTTTACAGTACATTACCATGTGGTAAAATGTGGTAATTAGGAAGTTAAATGTGTGGGTTCTGTGTGATAATTGATTTTACCATGCCATACTATGGTGGTAACTCTTGTATTATGGCTGTAATTATTGGTATACATTGATTTTTCATACTGTTGTGGTGTGGAATCCATTTAATATGTTGTTTCATAATGTTTGTAGGTTTCAATGGTATAGATCCTACTGTTCGTGATTCTTGGAAGGACTTAGAGTTCAATACACCAGATGATGCATATAATTTTTATGTTGATTATGGGAATCATGAAGGTTTTGGTGTGAGGATTTATAACCAATCAGCGTGTCCGAAACTCAATGGTGGTTCTTCAGCTGTATATTATATCAAGTATTGTTGCAATAAGGAAGGTTGGAAAAGAGGTAGCGAGAATAACCCTGATAATGCAGGTGTTGTTGATACGACAGTTCGTGTTCGTAATGTTCCAGAACTCAGGGGTGGATGTAATGGTGCTTATATACGACTGAGGTGGTTTAAAGAGTTTAAATGCTACAAGATCTATCGTTGGTATAATGTGCACAACCATGACATGATTCCTGAGTCTCTGCGTCACTATGTGAGATCCAGCAGACGAATGGCTCCTGTGTATAAGATGCTGGCAGAGGTGAATGATGCTGCTGGTATTGGTGTGACTTCTTCGTATAATGCAATTAGTAGGGCTGGTGGTGGTCGGAAGTTTGTTGGGTTCACAAAGAATGATTTGAAGAACCATCTGCGAACGGTTAGGACGTCATCAATGGAGTATGGTGATGCGACTGCATTGCTTGAATACTTTAGACGTCAAGCACAGCTGGATCCTGGGTTCTTTCATGAGGTGGAGGTTGATGTTGAAGAGAACATTGCTAGTATCTTTTGGGCAGATGGGAAGATGAGGATGGATTATCATTATTTTGGTGATTCAATTAGTTTTGATACTACTTACCGGACTAACAAAGAGTATCGGCCACTAGGTATGTTTTCTAGTTTGTTGTTTATTATTGTGTTTGTTAGTTTGTATGAGTATTATTATTATCATTCTGTATCATGTTTTTTTTTTGTTCTTAAATGTATTTTACCATATGGTATGTGTTGGTAACAAGGTTATTTGAGGTGGTTTTTGTGCTTAAAAGTCTTTTACCATATGGTATGTGTTGGTAACAAGGTTATTTGAGGTGGTTTTTGTTCTTAAAAGTACTTTACCATATGGTATGTGTTGGTAACAAGGTTATTTGAGGTGGTTTTTGTGCTTAAAAGTCTTTTACCATATGGTATGGGTTGGTAACAAGGTTATTTGTGGTGTTTTTTGCGTTGTTAGAAGTGTGTACTATATGGTAGTCTGGTGTGGATTTTTTTTTTTTGTTCTTAGAAGTCTTTACCACATGGTATGAGTCTTTACCATATGGTATGGGTTGGTATTATTGTTATTCGTACCTTTTACCACATGGTATGTGTTGGTAGAATTGTTTTTACTCACATTTTGTTATGTTTATGTAGCTTTGTTTGTTGGTTTCAACAATCATCACCAACTGACTGTCTTTGCGGCTGCTCTTCTCTATGATGAAACAACAGCAACATTTGAATGGCTTTTCGATCAGTTTTTGAAATGCATGGGAGGTGTGAGACCGTTATCAATGTTTACTGACCAGGCTGCTGCAATTGCTGCTGGTATAAGGTCTGTTTTCCCAGATTGTTTTCATGGGTTGTGTACATGGCATATTGCTCAGAATGCAGTTGTTAATCTGGGAAGTTTGTGTGACTCTGATTTCCTTCGTGAGCTTAGTTATTTGATGTATAATGCTGATGATGAGGATGATTTTGAGTATAATTGGAAGAAGATGATTGAGAAGTGTTTTCCTGGGAAGGGACCTTTGGGACACAGTTGGTTACAGGGCATTTACAAAGTCAGGACGAAGTGGTCTTCAGCCTGGGTGAATTGTCATTTTGGTGCGGGAATGAAGAGTACCCAGCTAAGTGAGTGCTGCAATAGTAATATTCGACATTACTTGCAGTCAGAGTTTAGCGTTAGTAGGTTCTTTGTGCACTTTGAGAGGATGCTTGATAATAAGAGGGATGCTGAAGAACAAGAAGAGTACTATGCGTTATCTAGGTTGGCTGATTCTCGGTTTTCTACTAGCCCTATTGTGAAGCAAGTTGCTAATGTGTATACGCCGAAGATATTCAAGTTTTTCCTGGATCAGTACAAGGAATCCCTTGCGTATAATATCTTTTCCAATACGGAGATAGAACCAGAAGGACATGTAGGACTGTTTGATGTCTTCATATTGGAGGATGACCTTACAAGGTTGGATAGTAGGGTGTTGAAGGTTGATTTTGAAAACGGTGAAATCAAGTGTTCGTGCCGTAAGTGGGAGTCAAGTGGTATGATCTGTAAGCATCAAATTAAGGGATATGATATGTTGTGGTCTACAACGTGCAATCTGAAGTTCCAGCACATTCCTAGCAGTTTGATTTTGAAGCGGTGGACAAGGGCAGCGAAAACTGGAGGGAACTTTTCTTTTGAAGTTCCGTCTACTGATAGTCCATCGAAATACCGTTCTCGTCTTTTCAATCTGTCAGCTGTTTCTGCATCAATGATCAGCAGGGTTGCATTGGATGATGATTTGTATAAATCAGCCATGGCCTTCATGACTGATTTGATCAAAAAGTGTGAAGCCCTATCGATTACTGAACCTGCTGGAACAAGCACATCTTCTAACGGTGACAGTAAGTTTTTTTTAATTGTTTAGAGTTTGTTTTTGTTTTTGTTATCTGTCATTGATTGTAGTTTGTTTTTGTTATCTTGGTATAGATGATGTACCGGTCCAAAAAGTGAAGGGGTTTAAGCCTAAAAAAGATTCATTCAAGCCTTCGAAACGACCAATTCCAGCTGCGGAGGCTGCAAGGGCTGTAAGCAAGAAGAAGAGAAAAACTAGCAGGCTTGAGGAGGAGAATTTGAAGGCTGTTGAAGAAAGTTTAAGGCTGAAGCTGTAATAGTTTTCTTATAGGATTATCTGAATGAATGGTTGATGCTGGTTGAGTTGTTGAAGCTATTTTGTTCTTTTGGATGGGTTTTTGGTTTTGTTGGATTAATTTTACACTGTTATACCATGTGGTATAATGTGGTAATTTGATTTTATCATGTCAAACCAGGTGGTAAAATGTGCTAGTTTGGAAGTTGAATGTGAAGGTTCTGTTTTATAATTGATTTTACCATGCCATACCATATGGTATATTATGGTAATTTGATTTTACCATGTGGTAATGTGTGGTAATTGATTTTACCATGTGGTAAAATATGATTTTTTGGAAGTGGTATGTGTGGTAATTGATTTTACAGTGCATTACCATGTGGTAAAATGTGGTAACAAACTAAAACACAGCAGGAGTTATGGTTTTTTTGCTATTTTACAACATGAAACCATAGTTTACCACACATTACCATATGGTAACAAACTAAAACACAGCATGACTTATGGTTTTTTGCTATTTTTGCAACATTTTACTACATGAAACCATAGTTTACCACACATTACCATATGGTAACAAACTAAAACACAGCAGGACTTATGGTTTTTTGCTTATTTACAACATGAAACCATAATTTACCATACATTACCATATGGTAACAAACTAAAAGACAGCAGGACTTATGGTTTTTTGCTATTTTACAACATGAAACCATAATTTACCACACATTACCATATGGTAACGAACAAAACACAACATGTAATCATAATTTACCACACATTACTATATGGTAAAATGTGGTAATTTGGGAATTAAGAACACATGTTAAGTATTTGCTAACATAATAAAAAACAGAACATTTCTTTTAGTCATAATACAAACCATAATAAGTTGTTTCATACCATTCTACTAATTAAAATGAAGTGGCTACTGAACATTGTGAGTTTGTTCTCAAAAGCTTACTCATACCCTTCTACTACTTAACACAAATGATAATAGAATTTTCATTTCCTTCCTTTCAACTCTTTCTTCTTGTTCTTCATGTTGCAGTACTTTGTTGCTTCTTTCATGATCCTTTCCCGTTCAAGATTTTCTTCATCAAGAATGATGTCCAACATCAGGCACTCCCTTTCTTCATTTATGAGATCAATCCTCTTCCAATCTTTGGTCAGGGCACTGTTGTACTTACCTTCCCAGTGTCTCATCCACCTGATGACGTACATCCCACATGAAATTTGATCTGGTTGTGTAACCTTCTCGAGCTTGAACCAGCTAAACCTCTCCCACCTTACTGTCCTGTCTGCAAACTGTGTCTTCATGTAGTTGATTGCGTACTGGACAACTCTCTCTGCCATTGATTTGTATGTTTTTTCAAAATCTTTGTGACGGAGACTGTCGAGCACTTCAAATCTCTCTGCTTTGATGTTGACACAAATCATGATGTAGTGCTTGTTATTACAGTAAGGGAAGAACCACTGCAAAATAATTTTACCACAGTATACCATATGGTAAGCAGGTGCCATATAAGTGATGAACAGTAAGTTAAGTTAAGAACAATTGCAAACTAATTTTACCACTATATACCATATGGTAACCACTGCAAAAATTGTGGTGAGATACTTACAAGGTTACATTCTGTGAAGCTGAGGTTTTTGGCCCATTCTTTGTTGGTGATGTCCAAGTCCACTTTGTCGTAGTAATCGTCTGGAGATAGTACAGGATTGCCACTATCAATGTCCAGTTGGCAGTCACCCTGAAAGTTGTGGTTGTTATTATGTGTTTTATATATGTGTTGTCTAAGAACTTTTGACAGAATATGGGTGGGTTTACTTACTGCCAACGATGTATCGAAGAACCACTTTGTGAATTTTCCTTTTTTGGCTTCATTTCTGTTCATTACATCTCCATACCAGCCGATGACATCAGATGTGATTTCACAGCCAATGTCAATCGACTGTACTGACTCCCTTTTCAGCATGAATGTTCCATCCTTCCTTTTAAACATGATCTCATCACTGTATACAAGCACATCACAACAGGACGGATGGTTTACTTTAATTCATCACATCAAACAATAGGTTACCACAACAAAACCATAGCTTAGCACATCTTACCATATGGTAATAAGTAAAACACACCAGCTTACCACATTTTACCATATGGTAATAAGTGAAACACACCAGCTTACCACGTCTTACCATATGGTAATAAGTAAAATAGAACAGGAGTTATGGTTTAATCCATTCTTTAACAACAAACATTAGCTTACCACATCATACCATATGGTATTAAACTAAAACAAAACAGGACTTGTGCATTACTACATTTTGTAACATTAAACCATAGATTTGTCTAATTTTACCATATCTTACCATATTTTACCATATGGTAACAAACTAGATCACTACAGTAACATCATATAACAGTAGAAGTTTTAAGATGTCTTACCTCTTGGCAAATTTCTTGTTTTTGCATCTTATGTACTCCAGGATGTTGCTGAACATATCATCAGGTGTTGTTTGTGTTGGTGTTGAATATTCAACTGGTGATTTTTGTGACTGTGGAGCAACTGGGTCGGCAGCTGGAGAATTCAGGTCCTCTAGGTAAGCATCTATGCATTCACGGACTTCCTTGAGCTTCTCTTGGCTGTTTGTGTACAGATTTGACCATATAGCATATGACCCCGTCTGTGACTGGGTGCTTTGTGGCTGTTCTGGTGGTGGTGTTGCTCTTGCCTTCTTTTCATTTCCTTGTACATTCTTTATCACGATTCTTCTTTTGCGAGGCTCTGCTGGTTGATCGGTTGCTGTGTTGGTAGTCAACTTTGTTGGTGTTGTTGGTGTTTGACGGTTGAGAGGGCTGAGATCAAAGGATGGAATGTCGTCTTCCCTCGTCACTTTAGGCTTCTCAGCAGCTTCGGTTGTCAGTTTTGGAGCGTCTTCACGAACAACATCATCTGACACCGTCTTCTCGCTGTCAGTTTCTGCAGTCTTTTGTGCAGCTTGCCCTGTATTCCCTTCTTCTCTTGTTTCCTTATCAACTTCCATTGGATCTGCTGTTTTGGTAGCTCCTTTTTGTTCGGTTTCTTCTGCAGATGTCTGTTCTGGAACTGCTTTCTGGGTGTCCTCTGTTGCAACTTCCCCCAATTGATCTCCTTCTTTTGGGATGCTTTCCCTATTCACAGCTCCTGGAGCAGAATCATCTTGCTCCTTTTCTTTTGGCTTTGGTGTAGATGCAGCAAGATCGACTGTAGATGGTTGTGAATCATCTTCTTTTTGTGTTTGCTCCTCGTTCTCCTCTTCGTTCTGGTCTATCTTTGCCTGTTTGAATATTTGATTGAGTGTTTTATTCAAACTGGCATTCAATTCTTCATCATTCTCTTCTTCATCATCTTCATTTTCTACTACCTGATTGTCAGATTTTTCTCCTTCTGAGGGCTGAACATATTCATCAGACTTTTCTTTCTGAAGATTCTTTTTGTGTTTGATCAGCTTGTCTAGTTGGCTGTTGTACTGCTCTTTGATTGCTTTCATCATTGCCTTCATTGATGCTTCAACCAGTTTGATTGCATTCTCAGCCTGCATAATGGGAGTATGGTTAGTTACCATGGTGGTAATACATGGTATTGGTAATTATTATCACTATTCTGCATTTTTATAACATGAAACTATATCTTACCACACCTTACCATATGGTAACAAAGTAAAACAGAACAAGAATTATGGTTTCCTCCATTTTTATAACATGAATTCATTGCTTACCACACATTACCATATGGTAACGTATTAAAACACAACAGGACTTATGTTTTCCTCCATTTTTATAACGTGAAACCGTAGATTACCACACTTTACCATATGGTAACAAACTAAAACACAGCAGGACTTGTTGTTTTTTGTATTTTTAAAACATGAAAGCATAGCTTACCACACATTACCATATGGTAACAAAGTAAGACAGAACAAGAATTATGGTTTCCTCCATTTTTATGACATGAAACCATTGCTTACCACACATTACCATATGGTAACGAAGTAAACCACAACAGGACTTATGTTTTGCTCCATTTTTATAACATGGAACCATAGCTTACCACACTTTACCATATGGTAACAAAGTAAAACACAGGACTTACGCTTAGCATGTATTGGACAACTGGTATATAGATAATTTGTACTTACTTGGTTGACTGTTCTGATTTTCTTCAAATCAAAGTTCAGTGATGATGACTGCTCGGGACTTTTGTTTCTTTGTCTTTTCGGTGATTCATAGACTGGCTCATTCTCCTCTTCCTCATCAGCTGCGACATCAGCTGCGTCATCAGCCTCATCATCAGCCTCATCATCAGCCTCATCGTCTCTAATGTTGGTAATCTTTTCGATCTCGTTCAACTGTTTTCCATTGTAGTAGCTCTTAATGTTCTCAAAGTTGCTATCAACATTGTTATCATCATAGTAGCTTACTGTTGGTGTTCGAAGCTGGGTTGAGAATGCCATTTCGTCCAGTTTGTACATGAAGCATACCTTTTTATGCAGATAGTTGTATTAGTTTTTTCAAAGAGTATCATTTATATATAAAATATATGAGTAACAAGGTTGAAATGGCCAAGGGAATGGAGACTTACTGTAAGGAAGTGAAGATCTGCATTGACGTAGCGCTTTGATGATTTCAATCCTTCATTCATGTGGTTGAAGAAGTATTTGCACCAGTTGTAGCTGGTGAAATGTTTCTGTTCATCAGTCTTCAAGTACTCAAGCATGTTGAGTTCAGCCATAGGGGCTGAAGTTGGGCACAACAAGCCTCCGGTGACCAGCAGAAAGAATAATTGTAACCATCTCCTACTGTTGGTAACTGTAGAAAGATCTTTTTCTACCTGACTTAGCTTTACCCTTGGAGTGGATGCTCCATCTACTTCCAGTAGGGTTTCTACTGCATAATCTGCTGCATCGTCCCAAGAAATTGTGGGAGGTACAACTTCCCTATTCCCCATTGGCAGACCATATACCCTATGAAAGTCAATTGGTGATATCTTCATGCGTGTCCCATCAGGTAGCTTGAAAGATTGGTTCATTGGATTGTATTTGTTCATTACGAACAGTGCAAAATGGTTGTTTATCTTTGTCTGCTTGATTGACATTAAGCCTGCTAGGCCTAATGTCTCAAGTTTCTCTTTCTGCTCATCTTTTATAGTCCTCGCAATTGCAGATATTCTTGTTGGGCTGCACCTTGTGCGAAAAGTTTTTCTTTGGTTTACCATAGTGTACCTGAATGTAGAAATTAGGAATAGTCTGTTAGCGTGCTTTTTACCATGATATACCATATGGTACCATAATGATTTCCTACCATACCAAATCAAACCATATATTTATCTCATTTTACCATATGGTAATTACATCAAACCATGTCTTATAAGATATTACCATATGGTAACGAAGTAAAACACAACAGGATGTATGTTTTCATCCATTTTTACAGCATGAAACCATAGTTTACCACTCATTACCATATGGTAAAGAAGCAAAACACAGCAGGACTTATGGTTTTTTGCTATTTTACAACATGAAACCATAGTTTACCACTCATTACCATATGGTAACGAAGCAAAACACAGCAGGACTTATGGTTTTTTGCTATTTTACAACATGAAACCATAGTTTACCACACATTACCATATGGTAAAGAAGCAAAACACAGCAGGACTTATGGTTTTTTGCTATTTTACAACATGAAACCATAGTTTACCACTCATTACCATATGGTAACGAAGCAAAACACAGCAGGACTTATGGTTTTTTGCTATTTTACAACATGAAACCATAGTTTACCACTCATTACCATATGGTAAAGAAGCAAAACACAGCAGGACTTATGGTTTTTTGCTATTTTACAACATGAAACCATAGTTTACCACTCATTACCATATGGTAAAGAAGCAAAACACAGCAGGACTTATGGTTTTTTGCTATTTTACAACATGAAACCATAGTTTACCACTCATTACCATATGGTAAAGAAGCAAAACACAGCAGGACTTATGGTTTTTTGCTATTTTACAACATGAAACCATAGGTTACCACACATTACCATATGGTAAAGAAGCAAAACACAGCAGGACTTATGGTTTTTTGCTATTTTACAACATGAAACCATAGGTTACCACACATTACCATATGGTAACAAACTAAAACACAGCAGGACTTATGGTTTTTTGCTATTTTACAACATGCAATCATAACTTACCACTCATTACCATATGGTAATGAAGCAAAACACAACAGATTCTACATCAGTTCAGCAACGCATGGAGAGTGACTGCGATACTGTTCTATTGTTGGATTTCGAAGAAAGAAGTGAGGTTTTACCTTGATATTTTGTGCGAAAACGATTTTTGAGCCTCGTTGAAGTTGGAAACTCTTCGTTTTTCGACGAAGAAGCGAGAACAGTGTATCGTTGAATGATTCTTCGAAATCCTTTGCGAAAATCGTTCGATTTGAAGTTTTTTCTGGAAGTTTTTGCTGCGATTTTGGTGAGAGAATTGAGAATCGAGAGGAAGAATGGAGAGTTTGAGAGCAGAGAGGGAAGTGGAACTGTCGCTTGAAAGGTGAGAGGAAGAAGGAGAGAAGGCGGGACGGTTGTCGCTGTCACGTCTGCAATTCAAATTGTCAGAGACGAGATTACGTTTTTGCCCCCGCGTGTATTTTAAGTGGTCTGATCTGACGGCTGGGAAGATGGCGCGATGGACGGCCGGATCATCGGTTACTGACCGTTACTGACAGGTCGGTTACTGATAGGATCCGGACCCGGTTGTAGGCAACGATAGGAGAAGGTAAAGTGGCAAGCAAGCCCAGGCCCATACAAGCGTGCGCTGGAATATTACGCCTTTAAAAAGCGGCCCGTGCTAACTACAAGGATTTTTTATGTCTAAGAAAAGAGTATAAACTATAAATAAGCTTTTCTGCAGTATTAGTGCGCATAGAAGAGAGCTGCGTGGAGAAAATGTAACAAAATTGTTGACCAAACCAAACTATGCCCAACTATATTAATGCGCTTTCATATTTGTGGAGTAAGAAAGTAACAAAATAACAATATTAGTAAATAGTAATATCTCATCTCTAGATAACAGTTTTTATTCCTTGAAAACTTTTAGGTGCATTTGATCAATGTGTATTTGAAATTTATATCATCGAAATCATGAATGTGATATACTTGCATTGAAAATATACATAAATTCAAATTTATCGTTTGGATATTTCATTCGAAACTTTTTTATTTCATATTTTTATGAATTTTCAGAAGTTTTCAAAGTACCTTTATATTTGTTTTTCTTGCATTATAGTATATAAAAAATTTTAAATTCAAGCAGATCATATTTATTGTTATGAGGAACTTGTATCTGGGAAAGAAAAGGTTGGAACCACAAACTCCTCTCTTTCTAGCAGAACAATTTTACCATTGGGATACAAATACTCTTCACTGAAACCCCCCTCTAAAATATATTACTAGGCCAATACCATACCATACCATGTATTTGGCAGAAATCGAATACCATTAATTATTTCAATTGGTATCCAAACAAATTATTTAGAATCTGAAATCGTCAATATCCAAATTTCACCCGTCTACTTTGGCGGCGCGCTGACCTTGTCATGCCGAGGAATTTCGTCCCGATTGAGTACTGGGTACGTACGTAGAATTACGTATACGTATAGTTACGTGCGTGGAAGTTAAATATAATGCAGCTGCATGCAACCATATTAATGGCGCGGAGAGATGAGTATATATAATAATATATGTACATACATAACATATATAGTTTGTATGAATGATACAGTAGTCATATATAGAACAGCTGAAGCAAAGCACTTGATATATATATATATATATAGAATGGCCTTAGCTTTGTCCCTGTTTTTCTATATATGTATGTATATATTAGTGTTCATGCATGCATAAATTAACAACATCTCCATTCATAGTTACGTTAGCGCGCTTTAATTTAATTTGCTTGGCGCACCCTCCACCACGATCGATTTCCTGTCGTGGTATACGGTGCATTCTGTGTATGTGACTATAAAACCCTAATTAAGACATTATCTGTTTGGAAGAAGATAACTATGCATGATCGATCATCATCCTCCAGCAATTGAAAGAGCTGCAACTAAAGCTAGTGTACGTACGTGTGTCAGTAGTCTAGCCTAGCTAGGAAGGGGAAATGCTATTTCTGCTGATGCGATGCGATCGAGATCGAGTCGAGGATGTCTGAAGAGGAGTCCAAACGCGCTAGCTAGCAACTCATGCATACACTGAATATATTATAACCTTTGGTCTGTTAATTTGGTGGCCCGACTGCTAAGAAATCGATGAACTCGGCCACCTTACTGCTCGCACATTCGTCCACCTGATCGCTGCTTCTTGTAGCACTAGTAGTAGTGTTGCTGCAGGTATCGGTGGTAGCCACAGCCATATTTGGATCATATTCATCTACCTCTTCCTCTTCCTCCTCCTCCAGATCTTCTTGTGCTAACTCATCACCGTGGGCTTCTATATTAGTAAGTTGGCAGCCATTGGTATTATTAGAGTTGTCGGCCTTACTGTGCACTTGCAAGAAGTCGTAGTATTCTACTCCTCCCGTTGTTGCCTCCTCTTCCTCGTTTCCAATCTCCCCATCATCTGTTGAATAATAATTAAACCCCCCAAATGTTAATTAATAATAAAAAAATGAAGGGAAATATATGTTAAAACAAACTCGGGAACGAAAAGAGAGAACGAAAGAAACTAGTTCACGACTAAAGCAAGGAATATAATTGTATTATTTCAACTTATTCGTCTCTCAATACATACATACACATCCCTTACAACTATATATTAACCCTAGTCGAGACCTGAGAGGAGGAGAAGAACTCGGCAAAGGGAGAACTAGCTAGAATGTCCCTTGATGTTCAAGGAACATGCTATATCATAACCTAGATAGCTAATACAATGTGTGATATACGTTATTGATGAGTACAACATTCGAACTAATAAAGTCAACTCATAGGGGAAAAAATAACTTATTCCTTTATCCGATTACTAATTTGAAGTCTATCTGAAATATAATCAAATATAATTCATTCTCTTCGCATAATCTTTTTAATTATCGAGTGGAAGGCGACCTCAAAGGCTTAGTCTAATCATAATATTATTATTATTATTATTGTTGTTGTTTAATCCATATCCCTGATGAATTCAAGTTTTGATCCGTCAATATCACCTATTACAAAAAAGAAAAGTTTAAGCTTAAGCACATACTCGATAAAAAAAATAAAAAATAAAAAAAGCTTAAGCACATACCACACTAAATTAAATCATCTAAAGAAGCAACAACGTAAATTCCTCTAAATCTTCCAAAGAAGCCAACACGTAAGTAGCCCATCAAACAACATGTACGTGTAGCAAGACAAACGAGGATGAACTAGTTATATATATAGATAAAGCATGGAGAAATGAAGCTTGTATGTATTCAAAACCCTAGCTAGCGAGACAGCATTATATTGACTAATCATTAATTAATTACCTTGATGATGATGATGATGATGATGAGAATTAAGGTTTGGATAATATTGATGAGCTCTGGAATGAAGCAAGTAGGCGTAGTATCCTTTATTAGGCACGGCCGAAGCGGGGAAGTAGGGATGAAAACGGCTAGTCTTATTTGTAGCAGTCGCGGTGGAAGCATGTGCATGTTGGGGGAAACAATATTTGTTGACAAAGGAATAAGCTGCCGCCAGCTGCTGCTGCTGCTGCCGGTGGTAGTTAAAGTTGGAGTTGTAGTAGGGATGAGTAGGCCGGAGCGCGCTACTGCCGACATCGGCAGAACAAGTAGTTTGGTGTTGGTGGTTGAGGAGAGGCGCCGCCTTGGAGGTTGTTGTTGTTGTTGGGAGGGGGTTGGGTTTGGAGCGGTGGCGGCAGCGGCGGGCCATCATGACGTGCCAGTGGTTCTTGACGGCGTTGTCGGTGCGGCCGGGGAAGAGGCGGGCTATGACGGCCCAGCGGTTGCCGTGGATGCGGTGGGAGGCCATGAGCCGCTCCTCTTCCTCCTCGCTGAAAGGGGTGCGGTTGATCCGAGGGTCCAGCTGGTTGTACCATCGCAACCGGCAGCTCTTCCCTGCCACCCAACCAACCCATTACTATTAATTAGTTAATAATCATCCATCAAAAATTAGAAGAGCTAACTTAATTAGCTAGATTTAAGGTTGGTTACTTACAGTTAGTTAGTTGGTCGGTCAGTTGATAATCAGTTACAAAGTTAGAAGGTAAAGCAAAAGGGTGGTGCTTCAATTCAATATCATCCATCCTCCAACCTGCTTTTCTTCTACCCTATCCTTCCTTCCTTCTAGATTTTCCCTTTTGCTTCCTTTTTTTCGTAAATAATAATTAATTATCTTTATTCTAGGAGGAAAAAAAATTTACAGCCAAACAAACCCTAGCTACCTCATACGTGATTTTTTCTTCTTGTTTTTAATTAATTAGGTGGTGAAACGACATAGGGAGAGGAGAAGGGGTTGTAAATGAAAGGTTGAGATGAGGGAATTAAGCAGATTAATTAAGAGTGTAATTAAGAAGAGAAGGTAGTAAATTATAAGTAGATGAAGAAGAAGAAGAAGAAGAAGAATAGTTACCGGATCGGCCGTGAAGCTTCTCGGCGATGGCGTTCCAGTTATGAGGGCCGTAGCGTTGGACCAGCTCCTTGAGTTTCTCGTCTTCGGCCGGCCTCCAGTGCCCTCTGCTGCACATAATATTTTCTTCCTTTCTTCGATCTATTATTGCCCACAAATTAAACAACACACACAAGATGAAGATGAAGATGAAGATGAAGATGAACAAGACGACTAATTAACAAGCTAAGCTAGCTTCTTCTGCAGGATCTATCTATAGGTGTAGAGATCGAGATAGGGTAGGGTAAAAGGGGTTTTGTGAGTTTAATTAGCTGATTATATATGATCCCCTCCAATCCAAACCTAGCTAGCTATATAGCTTGGATGATGATGGTGATCAGTTTGTTTGTTTGTTTGTTATTGGGGTTCTGTTATGAAGAGATGAACAGATCACCAAAGACTGATGGAGGCTAAGGAAAAATGGGCTAATCCTCTTTCTCTCTCTCTCTCTTAAAAAGGTTGGAGGCCGGAGTTTGGAAGGAAGGAGAAATGGCGGAGGGTGGGAAAAGGAGAGGGGATATGATATATGAGAATGAGAGCAAACTTGATTTGTAGTTGTAGGTGATGATATAACAGACAAACAATACCAACAGTAAACCGCACCATTCTTATATTTATATATCATCTACTGCCCAATACATTTCTAACTTCTTCTTTTTTTTATTTTCTGTTAGTACTATTAGAATATTATTATTATGCTCTCGGTGTTAATATCTGTGCTCTATGAGCTACACATTTCCATGGGTTTAATTTCTTGTTGTAGAGAGAGAAAGGGAGAGTTGGGTTGGGTTGGGTTGGGTTGGGGTGAATTTTGGTTATGCTTTCAACATCTTTCCTTTGAGTTTCCAACCTACATCATCTACTTCAACATCCTCTACCTTAGCTTATATCATCCCTTCACTTTTTATCTTTCTTAAATTCTATACTTTTATCTTTCTTAAATTCTATTTTCTTGTTGGACACATAATATGTGAATACAATGGTCTACTTGTAAGTAACCCACCACCTCTCTCTCTCTCTCTCTCTCTCTCTCTCTCTCTCTCTCTCTCTCTCTCTCTCTCTCTCTCTCTCTCTCTCTCTCTCTCTCTACTTTCCTAAATTCTCTGTCAACTGTTAATTTATTTCATAATATTTAATTTTCACACATTTTATTTGGGTTTCAAATATTTCATGGTTGATTATTTAGCATTGGAGGGGAAAACCAAAAAAAAAAAACAAAGAAGAAGAAGAAGCTAAAGAATATATATGTGTAGTTAAAGAGCCAAACCCTAGCAAGGTAGTCAAACAGGTAAACTGTAATGACATATTTCCAACCTAACTAACTACAACATTGCCTTGCCTGTCCTATACAACTTAATTTGTTTAATTGTCTATTGCTGCGTACGTACGTGCGACCATTTCTATATAAGTTATATATATATATATATATGCTATAGCCAGCGTTTGGATTTCACTAATATTAATTATTGGCAGAAATTAGTTTGGGGTAATGGAATGTATAATCTTTATTCTTAGATTTAATTAAGTTTTGACAAATCAAAGCTAATTTCAATATGTATAATATTTGCTATGTCACTATCGTTACCTCAATGATTTTATACATTCCACATAATTCATCGTAATGTACTTAGAAAGTGAAATTTATGGCTCTAACTAATTAAATATTTTGATATAAAATTTATAGAAGCATAAACTCTTAAATAAAAAATTTAAATCTAGAGAATAAATTATGTGACTTGCAATCCATACTTGTATTGAATGGAAACTTTAAAAAAATACAATTGATATTCACATCAAATGAAATTTCATAATGCAATTTCATGTTGTGTCATATCAAAATGCAACTCTACTTGAAATCTCAATTCGGGTGCCCTTACATTCTTTCATAATATAAGATTGAGTGCTCGAATCTCAAACATTTAATAAACAAAATATACCTAGGGTGCGACACATACCAAATGCTATACATTTCAGACCAAAGCATGCATGTACTGTCTAGCTCGATATGATCTAGACCCTGCAGACTACATTTTATGGAGAAAAAAATGAATATTATATTTAGATATCACACGAAAATTGAACCAATAGCCACAAAAAATCTAGTTTTTCTTCTTGAAACATAAATGTCAAACATGCATAATTCTAATACCAAAGAAGGAAATAACAAAAAAAAATGATACCAAGTCATAGAACCCATCTTGCATCACACTGTTATAAACAGTAACATAGCGTCATAATGAAGACACGATTTTCTCTATTTTATGACACGTTGTGGTTTATAAAAGAAGAGGGGACAAAACCAAATTGTACGGTCGGGTTTGGTCCCCAATTTTTCAAACGATCTTATATGTTTTCTCAACTCTACTAGCCCAGGTATAGAACTAGTATATATGTATATGAGTATATCGGAAAAGCGACCATTGAATTGCTTTGTGTAACAAGAAGTTAAAGAGTTGGCGAGCTAGCTAGGTATCTATATATAGACTTGTTTAGATAATTCAGATGGTGACGATGATGATGACAAAGAAGGAAGAAACAAGGGGTGGAATTTTAGGTATATATAGATGACGATAGCGGTGGCTGGCGATCGACATTGAAGAAGAACAACTTTCTTTTTTATATATATATAAAGACCAACAAATAATTTTTCAGGTTTAATTGTCAAACCTACAAATTAACGCCCTTTGCTTTGCCCTAGCTAGTCAGCTTAATTGGCTGGGGGGAGCCCAAATGTGCACGTGTGGACTTCTTCTTACAACTACTTAATTGTGGCCTTCTCTTGATACTTCGCTACCCTTTTCCTTTTTAGAGAGCTTTTTCTTATATTTATTTTCCACATTTGTTCTCCTTTTCAAACCTTTAATTTGTCTTCCTTGTTTTCCTACTGATTTGTTATACTTTTCTCTTTCGAACCGGGTGGTTTAATCATGTTTAAATTTCATTAATTGGAAGAAGAAGAAAATGGGACGGTCTTTAACGATTAAATAGATAGATCTCATCATCTCTTGATCTAAATACATTAGCAAACTTTTTGTCTGTTGTCTGTTGTCTTTTGCACGTACTTACGTAAGTGCATGGGTTGTACGTAGCATACCGTTTCTTTGGTATAAAAATAGGAAAATTTACAGTCCTACGATAGACACATCCGGATAAATGAAACTACATAACTATACCACTGGATTTGTACCCGGTCTGTTTTGCCGGGTAAATTTTGTTTGAAATATGTTTTTTGGTATATTTTTTCTCCTACATTATACGTCTATTTTGTTCAGCCTATCATTGTCGTCTCTCATCATGAAATTGTTGTGCAATATTATTATGATAGTACAAAATTAAACATTGATATAATTTAGTAACTCAGTAGAATAAGAAAATTTTTTTGTGATCTATGGTAGTATATACTTTATGGCAGTAGAATTGAATGATATTGATATAGTTTAGCAACTATCGAATATGAGCGTGACTTGTGAATATATGATTGTGACCATGTTTTTAAAGAAAAAAAAATTCAACATATATCAAAATGGGTATAATTGTATTGATCACATAAAATCTTATTTTTCTGCGTAACAATATTTAAATTCGGAGTTGAAGCGGAAAAAATATGGATTGAATAAGAATAGTAGTGGGATTGAAAAATAAGAGAGAGAGTGTTAAGTGGCACATTGGAGAAAAACTTAAAAGAAAAATTATAATGAAAAGAAGAAAACAAAGAGTTAAGAAAAAATCTGATTGGTGGAAAGGGTGCTAATGTGGATGCGTAGGAGGGTTGTAATTTTGAAACGGTGAAGGTGGTATCGGAAAATCTTTTATATACTATTTTCTGAACAAAATGAATTTGTAATTTTATGCTAAAATACAAACCAAACTTGTACCATAAAATAAAAATACAAATTTTTTATAGTACAAACTAAACTTATACATTTAAAACTACGATATAACTTTAGTTTGTACTTCAAAACACCAATATTTTAGACCATAATGTTAACAAACAAACCACTTAGTCCTAGTAACTCGAGTTGTTGGTAAAGGATTTATTAAGTTTCCATCTCTTACACGGCCGCTCAAACAAAAGCCCACAATTGCTAGTTTTCACTTTGTACAGGTTGAACATATCATCTTGTGATATCATTAGGCTTTCAGTCAGTAAAATCCATGACGCGTACCTCTCGTCCAAAGCGTTGATACTATGTTAACGAACAAAATCACTTAGTCTCAATAAATTGAATTGTTGGAAAATAGTTTATTAAGTATTTATCTTGACGGCTCCAATTTCTTTTATTTCACACAAGGGAATTATAATATAAGAAGCACAAATCATGTTTTTATGTATTATAAATTATTGTATTGCTTATGAACGCCCATCTCTGTTTCTTGGAAAAAGTAAATCACCTGACCCGGGGTAAGAATTCAGTTGAGAAGACGAAGTCGTAACATTTTATCTTTATAAGGGGAAAAAACTCTATCTTTATAATAATAAAAATTGTGAAGGAATTAACTGGAAAACTATTGATTGTAACTGAGGAATAAATATAATATATACAGTAGGGTGCAGCTTTTGGGTATTTGGAACTATATATCTCTAAAATACACGAAAAGGGGAAAACGAAGAAGGAACTGTTTAATCTATCGATAGACCGTTGGCCTAACATTTCTCTACTGAAGTGTATACGAAAACAAAAAGAAAAAGAATAGGGTTGTAATCGCTAATCAGTAATTAATCAGGCAATTAGCTGATGAATTAAAGTTTTCTGAAGAGTTTTCACAAAAAAAAAAAGTTTTCTGAAGAGTGATCAGTCGTCTTATAAATAGAAAGGGTTATAGGTATAATATGCTCCTCTACTATGACGTTTTATCAAACATACCCTTCTACTATTTTTTACATTAAATATGCTCCTGTAATTTGGAAAAACTATCAAACATGCCCTTCAGTTGAAATTTCCATTGAAAAAATCGTGAATCATGGTTGAACCGAGATTTAGACGACCTGACATCGATAAATGGAAGGGAAAATGTCAGTTTTGACCCTTGTTTTATTTCTCTAGGTCTCGTCAAAGTGAAATTATTAGAATTATTTGGCTATACAAAAGAAGAAAAAAAACTCTAAAGTGAAATTATTAGGGATATTTTAGATATTTGGGTCGCCCAAACCAAAGTTTGGTCTTGGTTAACGGTTTTTAGATGAAAATTTTAACAAAATGGCATGTCTGATAAGTTTTCCAAAGTACAGGGGCATGTTTGATGTAAAAAAATAGTAGAGGGTCATGTTTGATAAAACGTCAAAGTAGAGGAGCATATTATACCTATAACTCTATGTGGCTACTTTGGTGCACTCACTTTTTTGGGTGCATTCAGTGCACCCACCTCTAAAAGTGGTCAAAATACATTAAATTTTGAAATTTAATGGGTTGTATTAGTCTAATATGATGATATAACATAGAATCACAACTAATCAACCCATTACCCTAACCTATTAACCTTCAATTTTGAATCTCAACCCAAAATCCCAAATTGTAAACCCTAACCCTAGCCCTAAATTCCTAAACCCCGAATCATTCAAATTAAAGTGAATCTTGAATGATTTTTGTACAAATTCATGTAGTTCTTGTTCATCATACCACAAGTGATAATTGATATCGTTTTCACATGAATCGTCTGCTCAAAATGACGATTATGAAGCGAGTGCATTGAATGCACCCAAAAAAGTGAGTGCACCGAAGACATAACCATAACCCTAAGTAGAAATGGTGTGTCACTTACTCACTTTTACCTATATCCCACTTCTGACAACATTTTCCAATAAAAAAAACCAATAAAAAAAAAAGAAATGGTGTGTCACTCACCCACTATTATATATTTCGTCATCCATTTCATTTCTATTACTTTCCCTACTTCCCTTAATTGAGATTCAGCAGTTGATGATCTAGAAAACTGCCTCTCCTACAATCACTAAATCGTATCAGCCAGTCCGATCGAGTTCAATTATCAGAATTTAAGTTTGTATATAAAGAATTGAATCGATATGAAACATTTTGATCACAATTAAACTATAAAATACTATATCACTGATTTATTCGGTACAACCTTCGATACGATTTTGAAACATTATTAACTATCCATGCCACACTAACATACCATTTGAAATGCGAATTAGGATATATTAGATTGATTGTTGTACCACTCGATCAAACCCTTATTCGCATGTAAGTATCTTATATATTTTGACAATTTTATAGTCCATTTGTTGTTTTTCATTACGTTTAACTGTGATAATTATTCTGAACTTATTGTTTTCATTACGCTTAATTGTTACGGTTATTCTGAACTAAATAAACAGTTATAGATAAAAGAGAGGCAAAAAGTTTGGAACTTCATATCAAAATTTAATTTAAATCAAGAATTGTAAAACCATGCCAAAAGAATTAGTAGTATGATATTTTGTGCTAATATCGTGGTTTAATCATGATTGAATCATTTCTTATCGCTTAAATTTAGGGTACAATACCGATATTTCGAGTCTGATTGGAAGGTAATGTAAGATTTCTAAAACATTGATTTAAACTTAAAAGAGGGAATATTTGAGCAGTAAAAAAAACCGGCTTCGTCTGTGCAGTTTCTGAAGACGGCTCACCTGATTTCCACCTAACTCGTCCTTCCATTCTACATTTCCAGGTTGCCGCACCAAAGAGCAACAGCACAAGAGACTAAGAAAGGAGAGCATCAAGCTAGTTTTTGTTAGTTTTGGACAACAACAAGACCTCTACATTAGTTGTTCATTTCTTAAAGCTTAATAATGTCTCCAGAAAGCCAAGAATACAAACCCTAAAACTTAAATTTTTGGTTAATTAATGTTTGTTACGGTGATGCTGCATTCCCTCCTAATTAACAACCACAACATGCCAAACAAAAGACACAAAGTCATACCCAATCACTCTTCATTTCTCCTCTGCTCTGCTCTCTGTAACCTCATTCCAAGCTGCTCACCTGATAAAACCCATTTGCCTCCATGGTTTCTTCTAAAAAATATTCCAATCCCCTGTTCCAGGAGAGGACAAAATCCTGTTAAAAGAGTTATTGTTATATACCTTCACTAACCTCTTTTTGGCATCTTTCTTTCTTTCTTTCTTTCATGGTACACCAACATTCATTCCCCTATCTCCCTCCCCACAACCTAACTTTGCTCTGTTTCACAAACAAACTCACCTGTACAATAGTATCCACTCCCCTTGATGTTGACATGATTCTTCCAACCATAGACTTACCCTTCAACACAAGAAAAAGCAAACTCAAAACTGCTGCAACTCATATTCCAGAATCTCAAGCAAACAGACTATCTAACAAGACCTTTGTTTGACATCCACAAGCAATCAACCAAATTCCTAACCACATCAGCCATACACCAAAGCAAGTATAGCTATAACTAATACAATCTTAGAATTCTCAATCTGGAACTTCAACCCACGTGCTCAGGCAACCAGATGTTTATCTATGACAAGTTGCCAACATGGAATAACTAAGTAAGTGCAGCAGATGAGAAGAGAAATTATTCTCAGAAGCTACACCTCACCACAACCTGTTTAACTTTTGGCTCACACAAAACAAGTACAACTACCCCACCTGCCAGGATATGTCCTTATTGGAAGTTAACATATCTTCTCTGTTATATAGAGAATTGCAAGTTATATTCAGCTAACTAATTTAGTTGTGCAAACAAAAGAAACCAGAAATGGAAAGTTTTTGGTGAAGCAACCAAAAATGAAATTTGCTAGTTTGAGTACAACACACTTTTGAGCTTCCACAGAAATTAGGTATAAGACAGAGATGTATAATAAAACGTCGTCATCAACTGTCAACATTCCTACATTCCTCTTCTAATTCACAAATATACTTCCAGGCATACTAACCACTGATTGCAATATGGCACCTGTACCTTATGTTCAAACTACACCAGAAATCCTTACCAATTTGTATTCTACCTCTGCAAAATAAGCATCCAGGTATTCTTAAGGGAAAAACTACTTCAAAACATGAACTGGAAATCCAAAAGAGAAAAAAAAACAACTGGGGAGCATTTCAAGGGACCTTTTGTGAGCCAAAAGTAGCTGGTGCCTCCCTTAAGCAATGGAGACATTGCACAAGGGAAGAAAGTGACACTTTAGGGTGTAAGTCAGGTTTCTATCAATCGCACAAAGAACTAAGGAATACATCCCACCACCATTTCTTTCGGCTGAAATGTTGATGCAATATGGCACACAAGTCAATTATGATTATGATGTTTTGGCAGGAACACCCTCACCAATAAAGAGCTGATGTTCATCTAACGACCGCCACTACAAGAGTATCTCCAGAAAAATGAGAAACAAGATTTCAGAATCCTACTCAAGTGTGAACACAAAACGCTCGAAGAGCCACTTATATGATGACACTTTCATCTCTACGGAAAGAAATGTCAATTCCAACTTTTGAATTGTCAACATCAAGTGGCAACTAATTCTGCACAACTTGAAATCATTTCGTGATGCCTGCGTAGAGGAAAAGGCACTCCCGACAAGCCACTGTTCTACAAAGTATCCGCTAATTGTGCAAAAGAACAATGTACAATGATATCAAATCATGAATGAACTGCTACAGTCAAACAGCATATTAGCACATAAGATTTCTGCTATGCCTAGCACTAAGGAAGTATGAGAGGGCAAATTACTTCAACCACTATGGTATATAAAGACTAACACCAGCAGCACCAAACTAGTAAACCAAACACATAAAACAACAATAATAGCCAGAACCAGGTTTTATTAAAGGTGCACCTGACAGACAGAATTGGAAAGCAGCTTAAAACTCCCTTAAGGAGCTGAGGTCTCGGCATCATAACCAGAACTCAAACAAAGAAGAGCCTAAATAGAAATATTACCCTGGAGCAATAGTTGACAATTATCAAGCAGCATAAATAAGTGATATGAATGTACTTACTATTGTAAGCCCTTGGCATCACATATGTGAGATACCTTTACAAGACCTCGTCATTTTACAATACAAGGATCTCTAATACACTGAGTAACTAGCCTTGTCAAAATTCATGGAAAGACAAATATGATAATCAGTAACCAGAAGAGGAGTTTCTATTAAGAACAGGTGCCATAAATAACTTCCAAGAGTACTATACAATTTATTGAATAAGATATTAGTCAATAAATGTCACCAGCCATTTCGAGAACTAGTAATGGGTAAGGTCGCCAATGCACGCTTGCAGAACTCCTGGGCAGGTTGTTTCGAGCATTCACAATGCTGAGAGCTCAACCTCTTGGGTGCAAGGACGATATGCTACAAAAGTGTTGTCGTTTGAGAAGGATCCAGGGTTGAAACAAGTAATTCCAGTATATTTGAAAGCCTTCTGCTCACTTTTGTCAGCTAGTACTATCTGTCCATGAGAATAAAGCAAACATGAGTTTCGAGGACAAGGAACTGCTAAAGCTCATCTCTACAGAATTTGCATAGCAAGAAATGCATATTGGGTAAAATCAACTAAGTCCCAGCAGTTTTTTTTTTTAAACAATTCCACCAAAAAACCATCAAAGGGTTGCATCCATATGGCCATAGGCAAAAGAACAGAGATGCACTGTGAAAAGAGACATGAACAGAGTTAGAAGTGTTGATGGCGGAGAAAATAAATGACCGTTACCGTATGTGGAGAGGGATAAAGATGGAGAGAGTGATCATAGTTCCATATTACAGGCTGTATAATAAGAGGGAGGGGGCAGAGGTGACTTTGATGGGTGATGGTGGCAACCAGCTGAAAGGAAAAACAAACCCTTAGTTGTCCATATCCTTTGGTAATGGAGACTAATACTCAAATGTCAAATCTAGAGTTGAAGATAGTAGCTTACATGCTCAAAAGGATCATCGGTCTCTTCAGTAGAAGGAGGTATCAAGCATGAACGGCGCATCCTATATAGCAGATCATGACGGAAGAACACAATTTCCTGTGTATAGAACTTGATTCTGCATTGGGAAAAAGAGAATTTGCTTGTCAAAATGTTTGTAGTTTGCCAGAAATGATAGTTCATGCCTCGTACAGTCAACAATGGGACAATAACCTGCATGGATTGCTTAAAAATTTAGCATTTGGAATCTGTTTCCGCAACTCCTCGGTAAGGTACTTTGGCAAAGGGCATCTTGGCAAAGCTGTTGATGGACCTGAAAATGAGCATAGATTCTTGAGATCTGGCTAAACAATAATGGAAGAGCTATGTGATATTCTTTCACTATACCTGCATCATCAGGACCAGGAATAAATAGAAACTGGCTCTGATCCTTTAACCGTGAATGAGCTCCAATCATATTCCCTAACTTCCCAAACTGCCCTCTGCAAGTCACATTGCAGCAGAACTCTTTATTGATGCTATACACCTTTTTAATGATGGAACTCACATACAGATCCTTGTTTGGAGAAATCTCACCTGAGAGTTGTGATGGAATGGAAGGAAAGGTCACATGGATGAGAACTAAAGTTTCCCATGAAAACAAATAAAGAAGGAACAACCTCTTGACTCTCGAAACCATCCAGCACAGTCTCTAGATTTCTCATGGCCTTCGCAAATGGTAAGATATCAGCAACTAGGTACAATAAACTAGAGATGCAAAAACACTAAAATGACCATATGATAAATTGAACATCAAAAAAATTCTATGTCACCTCTTCATCATCTAGCCAGACATCAGAGAGTACAACAAACATGTCATTAACAGCTCTCTTCTCCAAGTCTGCGAGCCTGAGCTATTGTAGCATTTAGGAAGATCATTGTCTTATTCTAATGAAAAACTATATGAAGAATGCTAGAACGATTAATCAGAGTGACAAAATTATTATAAGGATACAGTCTCTTCTTTTGTTAGCGCACCACCACCAAACAGATCATGACCAGCAAGTGCTTTTAGTGACTTCTCCCTATCCTCTAAGGGAGGAAATCCACAGGTTCTTACCTGCATAGCCAAAGAAAGTTACCTATAGAAACAGATACTATAATTGGAACTTGGAAGCAGGTGCTTTAAGTGTTACAATGACCAAATGCAGTTCCCTGTGAACTAGAATGGTAATTGGGATTCAAGCATTATGTAAATCCAAGCAGAATACCCTGATAGCCTTTTTACCTTTTAGTTTTATATCACAGAACAGAAAATCATTACAGGTTCAATAATTATCCAGTGAGGCACTGGAATAGCATTACTATGGGATTCGTTGCCACTTGCCAATATACATAACTCTCAGGGGATAAATGAGAAATCTCATTTGACGAGTAAAAGGATACAACTACCTGAATGAAAGTTGGCAAAAACAATTTAAAGATGGGTGTTGCGGAGTTGAAATTTTATGGTTGAATTGTGAATTGACAGTACAAAAATATCTGCTACTGATTAAGAAATTGGAATTCCAGGGAGCATGCATATACAGTTTCGAAAGGTCATACAAAGAGAAAAGCAAGATAACATGAGGAAGTTTTAACAAAGAGTTACCTGAAAAATGCCATCATAAAGCATCTCCCCTTCTGCAACAACTATTGTGTTTTCTGATAGGAATCCGGTAGTTATTTTGTATTTAGTTGTTAAGGAAAACCAATGTATGAATACATTACTTTTCACGTTTGTCATTAGAGAGAAGATAGGACGTAAGAGCATATGTAGCTAAGATAGAATAACTTATAAAACAATATCATATTTTCTACATCCTAACAACAAATTCAAGAAGTAATACAAGTGCGACGCCAAGAACCATAATAAGGCCACGGCCCAGAGGGAAAACTCTGGGATGCAGGCAAACTGTTTTTTACAAAAGGGATATCATATGCACTCTCAGGAAGAAGTATTATGCAAGCCAAAGATCGTCTGATGAAGCTAAGCCAACTCAACATGCGTAGACCCCTCATTCTCAAACGAACTTTTAGGAACCTATAGCAGTGGGAAGATAATGTTCTAAAACTACAGAACAAACTTTACAGGATTAGGAACCCTAAAGAGACTCCTGATTGAGCAAAAAAGTAATGGTACTGCATAAGTTGACACACAGATTAACTCCCCACAGTTCTGATGAATAACCTCGATTTTTTTCCAACTTTTGACTTACCTAAAAGTGTTTCATCTTCCAAAAGAAAAGTCACTTTCCCGTTCAAATTGCAATCTATGACAGAACAAACAGAATGATGACAACGGAAGATTTTTGGTATTCAAGGCACTGCTAAAGTCTAACCCTCATTGGGCCAGGTTCTAGTTCACTGGCTGCCTATTCCTTCCCTCCCCCTACTTCAGTTTTCTCACTGTCTGATTTTGGCTTGTAGCCATCATGTTTGAAGAATTAGATGAT